GTTGTTGCTGCCCAAGATGAGGGCACAAGAGATGAACATAAACTGAGCATCAATTTCTGGACCAACTGTCAAAGACTGATAACCACACAATCTAACTGTTGCTTTATTATATGCAGAGATAAACAATAATAAGGTGTAGCCATGGATAATAGAGTACTGTACTGTATGGTACAGGTAATAGTCAATACAATATTCCCAGGTGCAGGTAGTATACTGTACAGTACTGTATTGGTCTTGCTAATAACATTTGAATGGTGAATACTGTACTGTTCTTGTTTAACCCTTTTGCTGCATTTCCCGCACTTAGCATTTTATTCTGCTAAGGATAACCTCCCGAAGCCAAAGAGTTAAGTTATTACAAAAAAATTTCAATTAACAATACAGGGCCATATTGTAGACTACTGTACTTATATTTTTTACTATAAGGTGGATAGTAGATACTAAAAACTGTATGATTAATGTGAATACATGAAATCATTTAGAAACATATAAATTTAGAGTTTGGAATACTGTAATGCGCTGTACAGTACACTGATAAATGAAGATTTTTTTTAATGACATATACGCAAAAAATATAAGAGGTACAGTAATAATTTTCTGCTACCTGAGAAATCAGTATACAGTACTGTACTGTATAGGTATTGTACTGTACAGGCTGTACAGTATAAGGTACTGTACTGTACAGGTACTGTACTGTATATTAAACACATGGGGTCACAGCTATATTGTTAATATAGTATACTGTACTGTATTATTAAATTTACCATCAAATTAGAGGAAAACTAAGCTTAAGGAGGCTGCCATACTGAATATTTTAATCAAGGCATTTGTTAACCCCCTGAAGTCTACTGTACTGTACTGATAAAGAAGGCCACAGTAGTTCCCTCCCATAGATCACAGCAGGCAGAGGCTCATTATAGTGGTGGGCGGAAACAGTAGTTCCCTCCCCATAGGTCACAGCAGGCAGATGGTGGCAACATCACACAAGTGTCAGCTTCTAGACCACCGCTGATAAGTGTTACGTATAAATTATCCCAGAAATGCATTTTCATTAATTAAATTTCTTAGTAATACAGTATGTACTGTACTACATATTGATGCCTTATTGTAAAAATAATGAATAAAATTATATCAAATACTATACAGAAGGTTATGTTCATTGTTGGAACACATCTTCAATATACATTAATGTACCATACTGTACAGTGCAGTAGACATGTACTGTATAGCAAAGCCAATGGGATAATCATCCCAGTTGTTTGTTGTGGTCCTCAGGAACACATCCATAATGAATAATGAGGACACATTGTACGTGCACATAGGGAGGACAAACATGGAATGCAACTACAATACTATACAGTGGTATGCCTGTAATAAATTACAGTACATCAATAATTCATCACTGGCCTCATCTCTGATGTATGCACATGGTCATTGTACAGTACACATCCTTTAGTGACTGTGTACAGTATAGTATTTATGCAAAGATCAGCAAAACTATCTTTAACATGTCAAGAGTTATGGAGCATAAATGAGAAATTAACAGAAGAAGGGACGGATAAAGAGACAATGATTCCATGTACAATACAGTACAGCTATACAATAAACACTTGTTATTCACGGGGGTTAGGTTCCAAGGAATGGCGCAAATAGGCAAAGCCACAAATAGCAACTTATACCACCTTGGTGCACGACTGTATACCTATACCAAACTATCAACCAGCCGCACTCGTCCCCTCTTTTAACTTATCTAATAATTCAACTTTCTTTGTCAGGATCATCACTGACTTCTGCCTTTTACATTTCACTTCACTAGCACTGACACGAGGCAGTCTTTAAGGGACCATTTCACACAGAAACACTAAAGTTTTGAGAGAACAACACGAGATGCTGCATCACAGACAATGGTTGAACGTGAACAGATGGAGAGGAGATGCTGCAGGCACGTGGGGTGACTCTTTGTGCTGCGGAAAAAGGCTCGCAAGCTAGCTACCATCTGCTTACTGCGAATCATCGAAATCTTGAATTGCAAACCCACGAATGGCAATGGTCTACTGGTTTTTATAACACTTTCTAATTAGGGGTGTGCTGTATGATCATCAGGATAAACAATAAAGTACAGTAATATTAAGTAAAAGTGGGTTCTATAGGCCTAATGGCTACTTACTGGCAATTTAGATGTGGCACTAAGCCTCTTTTGTGGGACACAAGTATGTAGTGGCCAGCAAGACACTCAACCACTCTCACTTTCCTCAACTGTCCAGTTGGTTACCAGTAACCATTTACTACTAAGTGAGCCTAAGACACACCAACAAGCCTTAAGACTGGAGACAAATGGTCCCTGCACTCAGCCTTCAAGAAGCCGTATACTGTGCTATCTATTTAAACAAATCTGATCTACACCAACAGGTGACCATAACAAGCTAAGGTTGGCACCCAATGCTAATGTTGTGTCAAATGTACGTTTGTAACAAACTCCCAATGAAGTAAATAAAGTACAGTATTTACTAATCAAATGCACGGAGAAGTCACATCACCAATAACAGCAAAGTAGAGCTAGCAAATACTACCAGGCCTAAGCACCCTTCCCAGTACAGTACTATATTTAACTGGTCACTCAATACCAAAATCTCCATGACTTTGTTAGTATATGATGTAAATGTTTCAGACAAACTCAGGTTCTTAGCCAATTATCAGCTTATCTCAGGTAATGCACATCATGTGCAACCAACTAACACAATTGTCACACTCCAACCATTCAAAAGCCATTTTACCATTCATTTGTTTGGGTGGATCTTCACACACATACGGTAGTGACACAACGACCCGCCATATTCTGCTGTATTTTTTGTAGTTTGTAAGGTCAACTTTTCACTACTTAAGAGCATTCTACCATCTCAACTGCTTCTCTACTCTGAGTTTTGTCAAAGCACTCTGAAGTCCATGAACCTGTACTTGCTTCATTTTATTAGCAACAGAGGATACCATAACTAAAAGTTGGTCCTGGTCAATTACAATGAACATGAACTAACATGACAGAAGTAAAATACTTATATGAAACTGATTATGGAGTCTCTGTGGTTATCAGTTGCCTGAATGTCTTCACTCAACATACACTATCAGATTTCTGCCTAAATTCTGGGTGAGAATTTATCAAATCTGTCAAATTAATAAAAAAAAATTGTTTTAAGAGAGGGTACAGTTCATTTACATGAAGGTCCCAGTAAAGACTACAGGTACAATATATTCTGGTCAGTACGTATATTCGTTACACTGTACAGTATCCACGATAACATTCCACAGTTTTGAGTCCCGGATAAAGTGTGCGACCCTGCAGTGTATATGTAGTAATGAAAAATCAAATAGTACTCCCCAGAGTAGGGATATGGATTAGATACTGCTGTGTTTGGTGATAATACCTGCAGGTAAAAGAACATCGCCAACCTTTACAAATGAAACCGAGACTTCAAAATTTATTTTTAAAGAATTGCCACAGTACAGTAGTGCACCTACTAGCAATGTCTTAGTTCAGAAAGTTCACACTGGTGATTGTCATGTTATAGTTCATTATCCAGAGACAGAAACAGACTTTCATTCTCGTCTAACTTTGGCAAACAGGATGTCTTCCAAAAGGGGAAATGAAGAATTTAAGAGACAAACAATAATAAACAAGGTCAGTAGTATATCTGCCAGGGTAACACAATGTAACTTGGCCTCTTATGAGAAGGACAGCTAAACTAAAAACTCATAAGGCAATAAATCTCCCCCTCCCCAATACTGTACTGATTGGACCATGGTAGCATGTGATACAGTATTTGTTTACAAACACCCTCTCGACAATAAGGTTTGCCTGAATATAGAGCTTTACCATAAATATACTGTACCATGCAGCATGAAATTCTTCAGCAACACCATTCCTCCGAGCTCGATGCATCATGCAATTATTCATAACAGGCAATTCAAATAAAAATAGTAAAATTGCATAAGGTATTCAACCCATGAAGTATTTCCAAAGATTCTGCAGACAAAGGTTTTCATTGATAAGATTGTAAAAATAAGGTGAAGGGCATTTTCTACTGATCTGTCAATTCTGACACTGACAGCTGCCTGTACCTAATGGCAAATGTGAGAGGACCTTCAGTAATATAAAGTACAGAGATCAAATTGCTGCATTGTACTCTTTTATTTCATCCCTACTTACTACAGTATACAGCAGTACAGTGCATACGGTAACCATGTTAATGTAAGACCATATCTGATCCAAACTACAGTATGTGCTTCAACATGTTCAAGTAGCCTTCAGGTACAGTACTGTACTATAAACTTTTTTTAAGAAAGATTCAATTTCAAAGCTATTAACCAACATTGTATGAGGATTATAACACTGTGTTGCCTCACTACTGCACATTAGTGTTGGACTAAAACCAAGTCTTTTATCACTGATATTTACCACAAAACCTATAATATAGAATTACAACACTATACTCTGTTGACAGACCCTAATTTAAAATTACTTTGGTGAAAATTTCTTCAGTGGGATATACATACAACATAATGTTCCTGCATCAACATCAGTCATAAGTATACTGTACTGTTGTCTGTTGTAATGGTTCTTGTGGTGTCCAAGTCAATGATAACAATATTAACCTCAAGTTTATTGTTGGTGCCAACAGTAATAGTTGCACAATTATTCTACCACCATTTCTACCTTGTGAAACCAGCAAAAAAGAAGAAACTGCACGAAAAAATTCAAGTTCAAATAGACATGAAACACTGGCCTAGAGAGGAAATGTTCCCATGGTTTGAGAGATATAAGTAAAGGATACTCATACTAACAGGTCCTCCTCACTACATACTATTAAGAGGTTAAGAGAGAATACACCCAGGCGCTTTGTTGGTGTCTTCCTTTGTCAACAGAGGCGCTGGGGCAGCCTAACCTCCGCTCACACCCATTTCAATTTAGTCTCGTCTACTTAACTCCTACATTAAATGGTACTTACCCAAGTATATGTCACCGAAAGATCCACTTCCTATCTTCCGTCCTAGACGATACTTGTTGCCAACCCTTAACTCCATCCTGCAAGAGAGGAACGCAAAGAAGCATATCAGTGCTATTCTGGCCAGCCCGAGAGACCAGCCATCTTGGAATCAACAATAACAAGAGGTCTAGCTCAGTTCCACACAGGTGAATATTTTGCAAGTTATCTGCTTACCTGCTTCGCCAGCACCTTAAGTCTCCGCACGCAAACTATATTGAATGTATTCACTTTTATCTCATAATTGTGTTTGTCGTCTAGAGTGAAAAATAGCGGCAGATTAGGTAGATAAATCCGAGACTTGGGCAGCGACTATCACCATATTCACAAGAGCCCGGATGAACACTAACTCAGCTGGCGAGCGAGGGAGAGGGCAGCACGTACCGAGCCGCGCCTCCCCACTCTACACCATACTTTTTACTACTCTTCGTCCATTCCCGTTAGTATTCGATTTCCTACCATATTATTGTCTTAGATACCTCTCAAAGTGTACTAACCATGCAATCAGTTGATTATGTTCTGCCTGACACTCGTGCACTTATACTGAAAAGACCGACAAAAGTACATCAAAGTAACATGACGAGGAAACAAAAGTCATGATAATTGAAGCCCAGCTCGAAGTATTTGGCAGTCAGCAACCTGAGCTCAGGGAAACAACTTTGTATCAGCTGATTTCTTCCTACGTTATTTGAGTAACTCTTCGTAATATTTCCGACAAGGTATAACTCAAAAGGAAGGTTCACATAGAAAATTGTTCTCACAAATAATAGGTAATGAAAGGGAAACAGGAAAGAGTACGTAGCATCCGTATAAAAGCACTTGTAAACATCTCAGACATCCGCGGCAACACCTTCAGGTTTTGACTTTTGAACAGATGTTTGATGATAAACATCAGTTATTATAAGAATTACAGCATCACAGACTGCTTTTAACGTAATATGGATGATATCTGGAACCCAATCATCCGTTACAAACGAGAACACGTTACCAAAGAAGAGTTCCAGCCCTTGAGTGCAACATTCCGGCATCTTCATTGAACAGATTATGAAGAAAAAAAAATCACTGCAATTCAAGAACACAAAAATGTGAATAGGATCTTCCCATCCACACTTACACCACCACTTATGCTTGAGACCTCACACAGCCCTGTCACTTTCTACACCTACCGACTTTCTATATCACATAACCCCGAGATGCTCACAACACACCGAAAAAGCTCAGGTTTTACGTACATCTTAGTGCCACAATGTTCTGAAACCTGGAAAAGACAGCCAGGATGAGGGAAGTGTTGGCGAACACTATCACGAGAACAGGAGCAGCGCGGTAACCTCCAGCTTGACACGACTGTAATGCGACTCTGACTCGCTCCCTTCCTCCTCGGCCAGACCCTTGATGGTGCACACGTACGCACGTACACACACACACACCCGCACACTCGTACGCACACACACACATTCACATGCATAAACACATGTTGTCTTCGCCTTGCATATGGAGTGTGAAACATGAATGATGATTTGTTAACTGTAGTAATGTCTTTTGTTTGTTGTTGATTTTGTGTGTGGTAGTAAGAAAATGTTTGGTACTTCTCATAGAGTCAATCTGTTTCATGTGAGGCTGAGTGAGGGGCCCGTATGCTGGGCTATCAGGTACTGCCCTCTGTTGTAAATATTGTGGGCCACCTCCCCGGGCTACAAGTGGACACCCAGCCTAGCCTCACCACACAAGCTTCCCGCACCTGGCCATGATACACATGCCCACAATACCTAACATTGACTAAAGATCCACCCACTCACGTCTACCCACTTACGGTACCCGGAACTGTGGCACCTAACTACACACTAGTATACCTTTTCTCACAATGGCACACGGTAACTGGACACAACAACAACACACTCTCTCATTATTCGTTTTCATTCATTCTTTCAAACTACTGTAAGAGATGTGTCGTGTTAGGGTGTTCCTCACTCACAACACTGACCTAACATTCCCATCTGTTCTGCCTCTGCCGCTTAATATAGCCCGGTATCAACCATATACCTGTACTTGTGTATGAACCATTATATTTGTATTTGTACCAGTCTATCTCTCTCTCCTCACTGCTATTACTGAATTAATAAAACCACAACATATAATTCAGCATTGCAGACAGGTGAAGGGGTAACCCGGAGAGAGTGCATCATGTAGGTAGTGGTGAGGGAGGTGCTAATTCACCCTATCCTAAAGAACACCTGCCGTATACTGTACCGTCACCTACACACACCTGGATCTCTCTCTCTCTCTCTCTCTCTCTCTCTCTCTCTCTCGTTGTCTCTCTCTCTCTCTCTCAAAGTAACAAAAAATATAGCATCTTACAACAAAGATCAGACTCATGATAAACGAAAGGACTCCTATCAATCACAATCAATGACTTGCCCAAAACAGGAATAAGTGAAAGCACCTGATGAACGCCCGAGACCGAGAGACTTAGAAACTGGTCAATAAAAACAACTCAAGAAGAAAGTTTAATCAGATACCTCGACACAAGTACAGGTTTAGGTACACAACCACAAAATGAACTCTGCGACTCAGGTTGTCTCGGTAGGGTTGTTAAAAACCTTCGTCCATTGTCATATTGTCTCACACTTTTTAGAGCGTTTACTACTAGTTACTAACACAGTGATTTCAATATGTGGTCACTTAAAATTTTTGGTAGAGTATAATATTTAAAATGGAATCAACGTATTGACTATCACTTCTAATACGTACAAGGAACACAGCCAAAATGGGCCCACGGATCCATAACTTACATACACACCGTAATGGAATCAATCTGTCTTATAATCACTGTCATTACACGAGGAGAAACGAGTGTGAAGATATTGTGAACGACGACAATGTAATGTTGAATTTGGATAATTTTTCTATGGGGGGGGGGGTGAAGGCAGAGTCCACTGGATCAATAGTAATGCAAAGAAACGTCTATGGCATACTGGTCTAATAACAAGCACTGTATGTTGTCAAACTGTGTGTGTGTGTGTGTGTGACGCATTCTTGCCACGTCAGTCTAGTTACGTTGTGTGACGTCTAATTGCGTCACGGGTGTAGTGTTTGTGACTCATCCGTGACTGTGAGTGTGGTGAGGGTGTTGTGTCATATTATCAGCTGTCGCGGCAGCGGTAATAAGGCATGCATGGAGTTGTCGTGACAATACTTTCACTCTGATGTCACTACGCACCAACACCGCCCCCAACACCAATGTGAACACCTGTACCGTAGAGAACACTGCCACACATCAACATTACGCTATATTCTTCTGACTCCACCATTTTCAATACGTTTTCAACTTTCTCTCACCAGCATCGTGACCTGACCAGTTAAAGTCTCTGAAACAAAACCATCCATAGCAGAGCCATCCAATCACCTCCCACATCACCGCAACAGTCCCATCCCAACCATTGTGAGAATCATCAATAAATCGTCGATCATTTGTACACTAACTCTTTTTGTTTCATTGAATCTACACTAAAATGTCTCACTTAACGCCCCCCCCCCTCCTAGGTATAGCTGGTGTACTGTGTATATGTCCAGCAGTTGTCTCTTTTATTTTCAATTAATCGTAGATCATTATTTATATTATTATCATTATTAGTTTTACTATTATTATTGCCGTTATCAGTACTACGTATTAGTATAATTATTACATCATTACTATTATTATTATTATTATTATTATTATTATTATTATTATTATTATTATTATTACTGTTATTATTATTTTTATAAAATCCCCATTAACCTACATTCATACAACACTTTCACGCAACCAACACAACCACACCCACACTACCACGCCTCCACCCACCACGCCTCCACCCACCACCACCCACACTACACACCACCACACCACCACCCACATCCCCAAGGAAGAGGCAACAAGCCCCTCAACATTAACCAGTTCAGGCGGTAAAGACACACACGTCATGCTAAGGGCCAGGTACAGTGTGTTACCATGGCTGAAGAGGACAATCAGGCTAACTACGTCGCCATACAGACCGATGACGTCACCATACAGACCGATGACGTTACGTATCACATTACCTGGGTCAAGATTTGTATAGGTGCGTATACCGGTACAGTACTGTGAAATATTTCCATTAATATCTAAGGTTAAAATAAACTTTATGTCGAGTATTGTGAGCGTGTAGAACTAGTCTGCGGAGATGGTCTAGTCTATAACACCACACACCATTACTGCCACCACTACACACTCTCATTACCACCACCACAACAACCACCACCACCACACCAACAACAACCACCACCACGACTATAATAACAACTACAACAACAACCATGAGCAGGTAATTTAGGGTTAAGGCGTCGTGGAAAGATTCAGGTCAGGATAAAATCTGGCCCAGATATTCCCTTTATTGCCCCGTAACGTCTAGAGGCGGCGCCCTTGGCTACCATCCTCTACAGTACCGGTGGGGCCCTGCGTCACTAGTGCCCCCCCCTCCTCCTATTATGTTTTTCTGTGTTGTGTCTTGTTTTCTCTCCTGATATCTTATCTCACTTTCACTCTTAATTTCTCTTTCTTACTGTCTCTGCTTTCTACATTTCTTACTTTCTATATTCTCTCTCTCTCTCCCTTACATTAAATCTGTGTGAGTGATGCACCTCACAGCGGCAAGATCTGTCCTGATCCATCAAGTGAAGCACTAGATTATGTTGACGATCACCACAAAGGTCACGAGCTGTGTGTGTGTGTAAAGGAACTAGGATGCTACTGTAAGGCATCCCCTCCCCCACCAGGACGACAATAAGGTACAGCCCTACAGATAACGCCAGCCAGAAACGCTGTTCATAACATAATGAACCTGACAAGTGTACCGAGTTAATGTGTTCACTTATTGTAACGGACTATAGTTACGGTGCGTCACTTCATGTACAAATTAATTTGGTCCCACACGTGAGCTTACCGACTACCGGGTCCTTACTCTTATAACATGATGTACTGTACGTGTTACCTGAAGCCTTATACACCCCACCACTCTGTACA